CCTGAAACGGGAATCGGTTCTTCAGAATCTGTTTTGGTATTTGGAAAGCCACCAGTTGTTCCAGATGAGTTCAAATCCACAACTGTAAGCAAACAAGACAACAGCTTAGAACTTCTTCTTTGTGAAGATGAGAGTACTTCAACAGCAGAAACATTACTGAAAGTTAAACAAGCCTTCTCTGCATCTGGAAGTAATCGTCACAATTTGATAGGTGATACAAAATCTTCCTTCTCAGATGTAGCAGGTGAAACATTAAATGAAACTCTGTGTCTCACAGGGCTCAGTCTGGAGAAAGAATTGTTAGCTCAAGAAGTTTCGGGAAATCTAGCAAATACAAAATCCAGAGAGCTGTTGCACCAATTTAATCAATCTTATGCTATTGATAATCAGCAATCAAAAAAAGATGAAATTAAAGTTATGGAGAAAAGAAACTTCAAAACTTCTATTGAGATTGAACTTCAGGTCCCGAAACCAGATATAAAAAATGTAACAGAACTTCCTGTGCCTCAAGTACTGGCCAGGGAAGACAAGTTGACTGTTCAGAACAGTTCATCAAAAGACAACTTAAACAAATCAGATTCCTTCGGAAGAAAAGAGGGAATAGAATTAAAGCACTCACACACAGCTGAAAACTGTATGGTAAAATGCTGTAATTTGGAAGAAGATGCCGCTAAACTTTCTGTGGCAGGACAGCTTCCTACTTCACAGTTGCCTAAATCACAAAATGAAGCAGGCAACCAATACTTGCAAGCCGAAAATTCTGATAAAACTTTAACTAAAACATCAACTGTTTCTGACCGTGGAAAGGTTTCTGACCACATACTATGGTTCAACAAGCTTTCATTAAATGATCCAAGTTCTGCAAGCAAAACTAAACCACCTCTTAAGTTTCAGCGTACTCCTGTTAGACAGTCTGTAAGAAGAATGAATTCCTTATTGGAGGCTAACAGACGATCTGTAAGCTCTCAGCTGCTTAAAGCAAGTGATGTTGGTTCACCACTTGTTAAATCTTTGAGCTATGATTCTGCGCTGTTCTCCTGCACAGAAAAGCCCTCGAAGAATTCTGTGGCTTTGCCACTCAAGCGTGAAAGTATGTATGACCAAGTTTCTGTATCTCATAAGCAGCTAGACTTAACATCCAAATCATGTTGCAGGCCGTTAAATCCATCAGACAAGCCTGATGTTTCTGTCAGAACTGCTGGAATCCATGAACAGAAAGTGACTGTTCATCCATCAAAGTCTGTTCTAGAAGATCTAACCAATCATGAAACAGTGAAATCCAGTTTAAGAGTTAACGCAAATATAAATATTCCAGGTGCTGCCCCAGAAAAATCTACACTCAGAAGAAGTGCTCCAGGAAAAGAAAGAGTTCGTTATAGAGGCTCTCCAAAGAATCCAATATCTAAAGTGAAACTGCTACCAACTGCAAAACCAGTAGACTTATAAGATCAAATATGATGGCTAAATGGGCTTATTGTAACTCGGTTAGCCCTTGGAAAATCTAAATTTGTATGATTATTTTTTTAGCTCTAATTATTTGTATCTTTTGATTTATTTTTTTAACTGTACGAGTCATGGACTTGTACAAATAACTTGTTTTACATTGAGGTTTTCTTCATTTACTGAAACTTTTGTAAATGCTAGTCGGTTCATCCAAGTGAATTTGACTTCTAAAACAAAACCTGTTTTTACAAATGTTTGTGTTAGATCTCATATTTGATTATCTCAGCTTCTAAAAAGCATGCTGCCTCTCCCAAAACAATTTTTGCAGTATTTAGACTAAGTACAAAGGTTTTAAAAAGAATTCTCAAACATTTTAAAACAAAACTAACAGACGTGAAGGAAAATGTCTTGATGCTGAGTATTGGTAGTTAAATTTATTTACTTCTTAGTTTTAACTGTATTGTAGCACTACTTTGATATTTAAGTTGGACCTTACACCAGCTCTACTTCAAGGCAATGGTTTTTATTTCTATTGGAGTAAATTGGGAGCATATTTTCCTTGTTGAGTAGGTAAATGAATTATATTTTGACATGACACACTGGACAATTGTTAGAATGCATGGAAAATAAATGTGCAGTTTATTCAAGAAGTAAAAAGTCTTAAAACTTCATCCAGCAATGTGTTCTGCAATACATAGGTATCGAGTATTTTCAGTTGTGAGCAGTAAAATGTTTTATCTTAATATGAAAGGATGGTTTTAACTTATTTTTAGAGCAATAGAATAGTGTTAACTAGGTGGTGCAGAAGCAGGTTTTGGATGCTGATAATGTTGCAAGAGACGAATGTAAGAAGCCATAGTGTGTTAAAACTTGATTTGCATGAGCAAATGTTTACATCTTTTGGAATTAAAACTGTTTATGTCTGTCATCAGTTGTAAAATTATTTAAGAGTAAACACTTGAGACTGTTCGTTAGCTTTCTGTATCTACGAATTGCTTATTGGCAAAATGTAAGAGCTGAAAGCACTGGCTACTTCTGGTTTTAATAAAACCATTGGTTTTGTCCCTTTTCTGAGCCCATTCTTCTATAATGACTTAGAAATTTAGGTTATGTTGTCATATACAGACTGTGGACCTCAAAAATGAGTAAGTCTGAAAATGCTGAAGTCAGAAGTGATTCTGTTCTGGCTCTCCTTTTTCTTCATCTTAGATACATCTTGGTGATTCTCACAACAAGCAAAAGGCATGATGCAACATAATTTAGCGGGAGTAGGCTTCTAAACTTCTTGAGTGATATGTTAATGAAAGGAATAGTTCTGCTTGCTTTCTGTTCCCTGCCTCCTTCCCCACACATCCACCAACTTACTACCTGAACTGGTTCAGCTCAGTGATCTGGTGGAAACCTCTGGCCCCCATCAGCCCAGCTGAGCTGCCTCACTCTGCTGCTACATTATTGTTAAGATCTAACACTAGGGAAACAGCCGTGAGAGGGTCTTAACCACAACACCAAGCAATCCTGTTAAGTATTGGAAACTTCAGTTTCATGAAACAAGGGAGCCAGCGTAACAGCTCACCACCATCCAAAGAGGAAGCTGCTTCTCCCTGCTCTCGGCTACGTGCTCCTACCCTCTGCCTTTAGCTGGTGCTGGCAGATCCCTCAGTAGTCTGCATGTAGGCAGCAGTGCACCATGTTTTGTATCATTCCACTGAGGTAAATAAGGCTCAGCAAAGCAACTGCCAGCTGTCATAGCTGATGCATAGGAGGTAGGAGATAAAGGCAATGTCATGAGGAAGAAAATGAGATCTAACTCCTGTAATAGTGAGCTATCACATCAATTTGTGTTTGAAAGAGCAAGACTTGAGATTTTTTTTCTGTTAATATGTACCAAATATTTTGATTGCTAATGTAGCTTTGACAACATGTCATGGATGGAGCAGTAAACTATTTTTGATTGTCAATGCAAGCCAGTGTCCTGGTTTTGGCTGGATTAGAGTTAATTTTCTTCCTAGTAGCTGGTACAGTGCTGTGTTTTGGATTTAGGATGAGAATAATGTTGATAACACACTGATGTTTTAGCTGTTGCTAAGTAGTGCTTACACTAAATCAAGGACTCTTCAGCTTCCCATGCTCTACCGACTGAGAAGGCTGGAGGTGCACAAGAAGCTGGGAGGGGGCACAGCCAGGACAGCTGACCCAAACTGGCCAAAGGGACATTCCATACCATGTGACGTCGTGCTCAGTACATAAACGGGGAAAGCTGGCTGAGGGGTGCTGCTGCTTGGGGACTGGCTGGGCATCGGTCGGCGGGTGGTGAGCAATTGCACTGTGCATCACTTGCTTTGTATATTCTTATTCTTATCATTATTTTATTTCAATTATTAAACTTCTTATCTCAACCCACGAGTTTTCTCACTTTTCCGATTCTCTCCCCCATCCCACTGGGGTGGGGGGAGTGAGCGAGTGGCTGTGTGGTGCTCAGTTGCTGGCTGAGGTTAAACCACAACAGCTGGTCTTGAACTAGGAGACTTAAATGTCAGAAAGGGAGATTTTGGTAGGGGCCTGACAAACAAACCCTTAAACACCAGGAAAGATTGTCAAAGAAAATTGTAGGCTCTGTTTTTAGAGGTTTTAGAGAACGGTTTAGGCACACACCCATTTACATAAAGTTGATCATGTTTTGGAGAAAGATTAGAAACACTAGATGCCCAATGGAGGTCCCTACTGCTCAATCCTGCAAGTTACAGACAATGTACTAGAGACCACCAAAAAGAGAGAGTAATCTACATTTGAAAGTGTAGTTCATGGATCTGTTGCGGTCTATGGGGTATAATTTCAGAGCTTTACTGTAGATAGTTATCCTAAAATGGAACATGTCACATTCACGTCAGTAGCGGTGAAGATGTGTTACATAAAGTAGCCTTTAGAAATTACCGTTTTGCCAAGTGCTATTAAATGACAGATTTCATTTAGCAAGATCCTTTTATAGTTGTCTTTTTGTTAACCTCTGCTATGGATGATGTATATAGATTTGCTTAACCTGGAGACCTTTACCTGCAAGTGCTTAGAGATGGTTGCCACGTTGTTACCTTGTAAACCTGCAGTTAGGTGATACTATCATTCCATCAGTAAACCATTGATCATACTATTCCGGGGAGAGAAATTGCAGTGGGAAGACGGACGCAATCCTAAGAATACGGAATATCTTATTTCTGTAACCGTTAATCCAACAACCTTCAGTTTATTTTTAGACGATTGTGTTTAGCTGAAAAGGGAGATCTTGAACATCCCCCCCCCAAGCTTTGTGTCATCCTCGTAATTGGGCAAACCCATGCAGCAAGCACACGGGCGCGGCAGGTACCTACGAGAAGCTGGCGGGGCCCGGCTGCGGGGGGGAAGGGGGGCGAGGGG